AAGGAATAAAATAAATTATAAATATTAAAATAATGTTATGATTAATTCTTTAAGATGCTTATGAGTAATAAGCGAAGTAATATTTATAAGTAGTAAACAGAAGGTTTAATTTGTAATTAAATTTAAAAGAATATCAATTAATTAACAGTTTATTTAATAATGATGACAATAGAATACTACCTCAGTTAGCGCTCTGTACTATACAATTATGTTAAAGGAATAAACTAAATTATTTAATAAAACTAACTATTAAACACACTGTTAAACTAAAAGAAAATATCCTCTATTTATATAAAATAAAATACATAAAGTTATCGAGATATAAGAGAAATATATATAATATATGAAATAAATAACATAAATATAATAAAAAAAATAAATAAAATATATTGTATAAAAGAAATATATGCTATAAATGATATAAAAGACGTATAAGATATATATAATTTCTTAGGGATTGATGTTATCCTTTTGATCATTATTATCTATGTCTTTTTTGTGTAATAATAATTAAATGAAATATATAAATAGAATAATAGACTATATAAAAAATATAAAAAAAACAGATGATTAAAATTAATATTGATTATTATTTAATATAGTTAAAAGATCATTTAACGTTACTTAATAAATTTTATATAATATTAAAAGTTATAAATTTTTTTGTAAATAATATATATTATTTTCAAAAAAATTTCTTTTATTAATAATAGATTTCAATTAAAATATAAATAAGTCTTTTATTATTTATAAGTAATTATTAGTTTTATATTAGTATTTATATAAATAAGCTTTATTAAAGCTAAAATTAAATAGATATTTGTATTTATTTAGTTTATTAGATAATATCAGATTTACTAATTAATTGAAATTATGGATAAAAAATAAATATTATAACTAAGGTTTAAAATTTGTAATTTAATTCAAAAAAAAATTGTAATATTATTATTTAAACTTTTAAATTAATATTAAGATTTTTATATAATACTTAAAGAAATTAATAATATACTTAAATTATTAATTTCTTTTATATTTTCATAATAATATTAAGAAATTATAACATATAATTATACTAAATTTATAAAATTACATATAAATTTATTTAATACAATAAGATATTTTAAAGGTAAAATTTCATAAGTTTTGTATACAACCTGATTTTGCAGTTGAATTATACTGATTTTAAATTTAAATAAGAAAAATTTAATTTGTTGATCTTATAATTATGAGCTTATTCTTAAACTAAATCAAATGTGTTTTATGAATATATAATAATTATTTTTAATATCAATAAAATAAATATTATAATAAATAATATTGAGATAATATATTAATTTATAAATGAATTTACTTTTTATGAGAAGGTTATCCTTATATATATATATATATCCATTAATTAAATAAATAATTATTAAATTTTTTTGAATTGTATTACTTAATAATAATTTAGTTAATATTAAATAGAGTTTAATTATTCTGGTTGAATTAGTAAAAAGTAAACATTAAGATTGAATCCAATTTATTAGTTATTATATTTTGAGTTTATGCAAATATAAGAATAGAAATATCACAAGTGAAAGTAATTTAATTAGAATATATTTAGATTTTGTTTATTATAATGAAATATTCTAATTATAACATAATAATATAATAATGATAATAAATTGTAAATATTAAAGATTAATAATAAAAATATAGAATTAATAATATTAATAATGTTATTTTATAATGTACATAATGTTTGTAATTATCAATTAATTTCAAATAATTTAAACTAATTTTTAAAACTTAAATTTTGAAGTTGAAGAAGAAATGTAAAGTAAAAGAAATATAAATATGTATATTTTGGTTTAAAGATAAAAATGACCAAAATTTGTATACAACTCTATTTTAGTAAACAATAATTTCTCTAAAATCTTTGGTAATACCAATATTTACTTTGTCTGGTTTTGTTGCAGTTTACCTTATATAATCAAATATTAAAAATAAAATATTATTATATTATAATGTTAAAAAAGAAAAATGTTATAATAAAAATGTTATAAAATATTTTCTAAAGTCAGAATGTTCATTAACGTTAGTAATTAATAATGTTCATATAGATTCTTATCAAATAATTTAATTTATATATATTTAGATTTTTTTAAAAAATGTATAAAATTATAATAAGTAAGTTTTCTATTTATAAAATTTTAACGATAAATTTATTTAAACCAAATAAAAAATAAATAATGCATATATATAAATCAAAAGTTATCATTTCGTAGTTAATGAAACAAATCATTCAAGGATCAATTATTTACAATTATTCTACAAAAGAATATTTCTCCATTATTACAGGTAAACAAATAAGACCCTTCACAACCAACAACAGCAGTTCTTTCAAATCTAAATTAATAAATAATGTAACACGGTAACACGACAAAACTTACAAAGCGAATTATAAAAAAAACCGGTTTTTATCATTTTATCAACTAGAATCAAGGTTTTCCATTGACATTATAAAAAATGTTTCAGGTATCAATCAAAAAATCAGGTTTTCAACAATTTAAAGAGAAAAAAGAGATAATGAATTGAACACAACATTTGCATACAGTAACATTCAAGCAAAAGATATTCGTGGCGATTGATAGGAAAAGGGTCGAGTGTAGGACAAATATAAATGCAAGCGCAAGACGTTGATTCAAAACTTTGATCCTAAGTTGAGTTATTTAGTATAGTTATATTGTTATTTATTTATAAATTAAGTACGACATTTATTTATTTTTTTTTTTCTTTTAATTGAAAGCTGTAGTGGATTCAGGTTGCACAATGCAAACCGCCTACGAACAAACCCTATTGAATGTTTCACGAAACCTTCTTTGGTAATATCTGGGGGACAATTATATCAAGGGACTATTAAATTATCCCTTAATTCAAGGAGACACACTCTAAACTAAAAAAAAACCTGAAAAAATGTTGTCAGTTTTTAAATGTGAGACAAAGTTTCAAGAGAAATGAAATCTGGGGTAAACAAAAGAAAGGGGTGATGATCTACGTGTACAAAATTTTATCACATTTGTAATGATATTAATTCCAATCGAGTACTTATGATGACGATTTTTTCGATAGACACAACTTCCGAAGAGGGGGAAGGGGAGGGTGGGTGGAGGTGTTTCTTTGTTTCGAAAAAAAAAAAATTTTTATTTTTTCCTGATGAATTTGCGATAATTATTTTTTTTTTTTTGCGTCTAGATTTGTTTGAGTAACCCACAATTACAATTGAATCTAAATAAAAAAGGTTTAAGGTTTTTGATAAGAAAATTATTCTAAATAAAGCATAGTGCTAAAATTAAAAGCATATGATCTCAATTTTTCGTGTATCCGTTTGTGGGGTGTAAGAAGTTACCATATGGTGGAGCGGATAAACTGTTCAGGAAAAGACGAGTGAAATCTTGTCAAATCTTGATTGGATTTTTTTTTAAAAAAAGAATTAAGCCATTTTATTTTTTTTAATGTTAATTAATTACCTGGATTGACATCATTCTCGCAGCTGACCGAATATCTAAAAATAATAAAAAAAAAAAAAGAATGATACAATGAATTTCAATTTACAAAATGAAATCTCGGAGAAATATCGATTATTAGGGGGGTAAATCCTGAATAAATCTCTAATCGGAAAACTATACAAACGGAACATCCAAAAATTTATTTATTTATTTATTTATTTTTTGAAAAAGTGTTCTTTGCACTTCATAAATTTAATAAAATCGACAATCTTGAGATAATTTTTTTTTGAACGGAACTGTGACCAATTGTAGCATTCAAGGAATTTGCTTAGATCTTCATCTCTCCGCATAAACAGCTGACAGATTTTTTTTTTTTTTTTTTTTTTTTTTTTCATTACAAACTTTATTAAACCATACTTCATTAATCCTCTTGCTAATTAATTAATTAATGGGGGAAATAAAAAAAAAATGTAGTCATCTGGTGCTTCCTATTACAACGCCTTGACACTGCCCCGTTACTAAATTATTCGTAGTACAAATTATTTTGACCGTTCGGTTGTCATAAAACCGGTTTAACCTGATCTTGCTGATAACGATGACGGTAACTTATGACTCATCATATCGTTTTGGTTAAAAGTATTTGTAAACGGTATATTATCTGTATGAATCTGTACGGTATCATCCATATAGAAATTCCGATTATTATAAATATTAAGATTAGTGCAAAAAGGTTTCGTGTCACAGAGTCACCGACTTGGAATTCTTGAAGCTAGACCCCTTAATCTTATTCCTTTTTTAGGTCCTTTCGGTTTTCGCCCATCGATAAAAAAAAAACACACACACGATTCATCGTTAAAATAAAAATAAAAGAAAAAAAAAAAAAAATAAGGCCATAATGTTGTAACCTAGACTAAATTTTGTTGACATTTTTGACATTTCAAACGTCAAAAAATTAAAAAAGAAAACGAGAAAATAAAAAAGATCACCCAGAAAGTAACAAAAAAAAGAGGGATCAAAAAAATTCATGTGGATTTTTGTACGCAAGTTGAAGATCAGATTTAATAAATTACATGAGTTTCCGCATTCGTACAACTTATCTTATTCCATTTCTGTGTCATATGAAATAAACATTGCCGTTTAAGAGGGTATGACGTCCTTTAATCATTTCTATTTTTGGGATATCACTTTGGTGTCACCCGGAGTTGTGTGACAATCAGTCCAAAATAAAAGGAGACGACAGGTTCCGCCATCTGCATCATTTCGAGCCAATGAATTTTCAATCATCCCCAATTCGACAATATTTTTATCCCACCCCATCTTATAACCCCCCAATTCTTAAGACACCGTGCCACCTTCAAAAACCATCAGAAAAAAACCGGGTGAACAATACGCACTGCACAGTAACAATTTATTCCGCTTACCAGTACCGCCATACTACAGTAAACAGATAGTCGCCAAACCGAAGAAACTCGAGCTCTTTAATTTGTTTTATTCTTTAACCGAAACAAATAAATGGCTAACAACAACAGTCAGAACACTTCAAACTCGCAACAAATTCAGTACAATAGCTTTGGTGTGCCCATCCAACCTCAACAGGTTCAACCGAGAGACAAAACGCAACAGGTTCGTATTTTTCTTTATTCAACAATTCCGGACAACGAAACTCAAGTTTTTAAAAGAGGGCTAGTACGTGAAATACCCTATGAGTGTTTGTTAAGCGGCAAGTCGCGAAAAAAAAAAAAAATTACTTCAAAGTCGTCCTTTTTGCGCCCGACAAGTGTTACTTTCGTAATAAAAAGTTAACAAGTTACAAAAGACAATACAAACGTGTCTATTGAACTATAGAACTTTATCGTATCGAAAAAAGTATCGAAAAACCTATTCTGGAACCTATTTTTTTAACAAGGATCAAATTTTTCTCGTACTAATAGTCATCCTTGGAGTCAGAGAAGAGACAGAAAAAAGGCACACCGAAACGTAAGTCGATGGAAAACGAACGAGAGAAACACAAAGCCGAATATGAAAAGTCGGGAGTATGTATTGCATTATATTTGTATGTCGAAATGGAACGAAAATAAAAATGACTAATATATTTAATATATATATTTTATTACATTATAGAATGAGCTGAAAAGTCTTTTAACACAATTCGGATCCAAAGCAAAAGCAGTAGATGAATTAGAACGTGACGCCCAAAATATACGTACCAATATCAGTGCGTTAATGAGCAAAGTACAATCCAAAGTAAACAAGGTTTGTTTACGTGTTTTATTAAAGCCTCGGTTTTATTTACCTGTTGAAAATTTTAAATGATCTAATAATTTATCATCTAAATATTTTTGATATATTATAGCCTATACAAGTAACGCCGCCACCGCCGACAACACAACATCCGCAACCACAAATGTTACAACTGCCAGCAACAGAACAACCACACCACGGCTTCTTTACCTCCTCAATGTTGAATAAACTCACATATATAATATTATTTCCTTTTAATTTCTTATTAGATTTAATAAGATCATTATACAGTTCAATTAATTGGACTATGTTATTATTTTGTGTATTATTAATGGAATTAACGATAATTGGTTTAATTTGGACGTAAGTTTTCCCCTCAAATTATCTCTTTAGAAAATTTCTTTCTCTTCACATATTAATGAGCATTTCGTTTTTGAAACTACAGAGTCAAAAGATCGCAAAATACATACCTGTACGTTGAACCGTACGAGCCAGTTGTACATGGAACATTTGGAGTCGACCAATCTATGTCCTTGGGAATAGTTTGTTCGGTCGTCAATTCGATAAGGGACTTTGTAGCAGAGGTGATGAATGGAGGTCGCGGGTTCGGCAGTCCAAGTTACGATGGCTTCGTGCCGATATAATTGTTTAATACAACAAATACTTAATAATGCATGAATGGGTTGACCTCCTTCATCACACTTATATATATATATAATATAGTATATACATTACAATGGGACAATTTAATATTAATTTTATAGAAGAAAAAAAAAAATCCTTGGTATTTTTTTTTTTTTTTTTCCCCCTTTCCCTTTTCCTCTTTTTTCACTGTACATATTTGCTCCCTTTGGTTCGCTTTTTTTTTTGTTTTTAAAAATTTTTCTTGTACTTTTTTTTTAGACTGTTTTTATAATTTTGTTTCGCTCCTAGCTACTTTTAATTTCTTTCCTTATACACATCCACTTAATCTTGCACAAAATATTATATAAACTGCACATACAACAACACATTTGCACATTAGTTAAAAAAAAAAAAAAAACTTATTACCATTGCTAAAAAAAAAATTCATTGCATTAAAATTTAAAAATAATGCTATTTGATTTCTTTGATTGCACATTTGCCCTTTAATAAACTCGAAAACGTTGTTAATAATGCAACGAATTTCCCCTCCGAGAAAAAATTCATGCATACAAAATTGACTTTTTATTTATTTAATAATTTATTTATTTATTTATTTTGATCGTATTTCCGAGTGCTACTAATTTTAATGAATTTTTTGTGTTTATGGAACGAGACAAGTGGCGCAGTGATCTCGTGTGGTATGTGGTGGTTTGATCTTCATTTTTTTTTTTTTTGATTTAATCCTTAATAAATTTTTAACTTTTTTTTTTTTGTCTTGTAGGCATAGCGTAAAATGGGAAGTTTAGCTTATATTTGCGTATTAGATGCAAGCTAGGTTTTCAAAAAAGTAATTATAATAATAAAAATACACTTCAAAACAAATTTTCAAGGGTTGAAAATTGAGAATATTACGCGTGATTAAAATAAGTAAAGTAATAAAAAAGTTCGAGTTACTTCTCCCTAAAATTCCTAGCCCATACCTGAAATATCATGGTAATTGTGGTTTATCGAAGGGAGTAAATTGAAAAAGAATTAATACCAGTACACCTTCTTTACATTAGAATAATGTGAATGAGGGTCACTTCAATTCATACATTTACAAACTTGATCTTTTTTTTCCTCAGAGGCAAATTTTCTGATGATGTAATTTTATGTATCATATGTAAATATATATATCTCTCTCTACACGGTATATGTAAAGTGAATCTTTTGATTGAATAAAAAAAACTTTTTCTATTATTGATTGAAACGATTGAAAACTAAAGTTACGCGAAATGTTAATCAATGAATGGGTAAATTTAAGACGCGATGATATTAAATTTATTTTAGGTGGTTTAACCGAAAACAAATTATTTGTTTACTGACAATATCTCTTAAATTAAAAAAGTAAATTAAAAAGAGATCGGTGCCGTGTAATCCTCGTGTTTAAAAGTGCATTTGTTTGTTTTTTACTATAATTCATTCAAGTTCAAGTTCGATTTTGTTAATGGCGGTATTCAAAAGTGGTGACTTTATGAATTTTTTTACCGATATATCATTATCATAATTGTAATCGATTATATGATATCTAGATAGATCTAAGAAACAAAATCCGATTTGGTAATTAGTAATTTATTTCACACGTGTTGATATGATAAAAAAAAACAAACGGTAATCGGTGTAATTTCCCCACGGAGGCTAAAATCGATATTACGGAAATTAAAAGTTAACTGTCATTTAGGCGTTCAAGTGATAATTCTGAATTTTTGACTGATGATTTGCATATAGCATTATTCAACGATATCCTACTCATTTTAATCTCATTTTAAGATAACTCATTATACCTGTTGTAACTTGTAGGTGAAAAAATTTTTTCTCATTCAGGTTAAAATGAAATATATTTATGGTAATTATTCAATTTATGTTATAGGATAGAATACGTTAAAAAAAAAAAAAAAAAAATTTGATAATTCGCAATTAGCACAAGTATATTTATTATTATATTTATTTCTTTGATTCACTTTTTTTTTTTTTTTTTTACTTCTTCATTTATCCTTCATTGAGACAAAAGTTATTTCAATAAATCATTTAAACGTTTTGGATTCATTTGAAGATTATGTCTCATTTTTACCATGTCTGTTAAATATTGATTTATGGGGGTAGGAATGTTATAAGCATTTCCTAATTTAACTATGTATCCATTTAAATAATCAACTTCCGTTGCCAGATTTCTTTTGATAGATTGTAATGATAAAGATTCATAATGACGAGTCTTTATGCAGATTTGAAACACGGCATCAATCAATCTATCGGTGGCGAATCGGTTCGTCGGTGTCATCCCAAGACTTTCTCTGTGTTTCCTGATGACCATAGAAGATTCTGCGCAAATTGGTCTTATAACACGATCGGCCATCTTGTTAAATAATAATGCCCCATTACGTATAAAATAAATTGATGTAAGTGGATCAATCACTGAATTCAATGCAAGGTTCTCGAGTTTACGATTAACTATGTTTGAATAATTAACATTTCTTGCATTAAGTTCCGGAATTTCAATAAATTCTTTGATCACCGAATCTAAGGTATCTTTGCTTAAATCATTATCATCATCATCGTCTGCCGTCGTCGCTGTCGTTGTAGTCGTCGTCGTCGTGGTAGTAACATCTCTGTTCTCCAAGGATTCTTCAGGTTGTAAATTTGCATCGATTTTCTTTTCTTCGGTTTTATCAAATCGCCTAGGAATAACCCCAAGGTCGATTTCACCAAATCCGGAATGTATTAACTTAAATTGAGTACCAAAGGTGGCTCTTTTATAAACGTGATGAGAATTTAAACCGATTAAAAGATTTGGTCTAATGGCTTCATCAAAATTATAATAGTCTTTCATTAATTCTTCATAAGTTCCCAATCCATAAGTGAATAAGATAATGGTACTCGTTGGTGATAAACGATGAAAGATCCTTTGATAATATTTACTGAATTCGTGAGATTTAATCGTGACGATAAGTCTCCTGATACGTTGATGTGGTGGGCATGATTCATTCGGATATCGAGGATCAATCACATTTCCATAATTATACCCATGTATACATTCTGATTGATAATCTTTTGATATCTCTACATTTGGTTCAAATTCCTTTGTAACTTCAATGGAACGATTAAGTTTATCGAATTTACCCAAGGTTGTGGGGTCTCTTAAGAGTAAAGTGACCTTGTGCCCACGTTTTCGAAGAAAGTGTGCTATAAAAGAACCGCTATTACCAACTCCAAGTACATGCCAATGTTTCATTTTTTGCAAGGTAATTTGCTTGTTGAGAGAGGAAAGAAAAAAAAAAAATAGATTGGAAAATGTTTATCAAGATCTTTAATGGAATTTCACGTGATCTCACGTGACAAATCTCTCCAAAAATTCTTTTTGGATAAATTTTATTAATTTTTTTTTATTTTCATGTTATTGAGGATTTAAAATTCAAAAGGAAGATCTTTAAAAATCTCGGCCCTCATATAACTTCGATGATGAAATCATATTTTTAATTTTACTCCGTTGGCAGATCACGAAATGGTTGGTATTAGTACCGGCCAACATTAACTGTGGCTCCCAGTTACAGTATTACAACAAAATAAAGTTTTACTTGGGCGTGGTGAATTATCACTTTTTGTCACATTTTTTACGTTTTTTTAGGGTGTGAAATCCAATTTGTCACCCGTTAGGATAACTATGAGCCACATTAAGCATATAAAATCACGTGATCCAGTGGTGGGTTCTTTTCTATTATAATTATATTTTTACGCTCAAATTCAGATAAATGATACGGGTTTAAATTAAATTGATTAAACGAAATGTAAAGGCTCTACTTCCTAAACGTCGACGTTCCGTTACAATAAATTCGAGGGAAATATCTAAACTAAAAGGATAATATTCCTATATTTAAATTCAGCAAGGTCATAGGGGCCAGAAGACATAGGACATATTGAACAGCAATTAAAAATATTTTGACAAAAATATATTTTTGGTAGATAATATTTTTTATTTTCTTGGAAATTAACTTTTATGATCAAATAAATCGTTAAAACCTTTAAAGATCTAAATTTGATAATTAATCGAAAATCGATTCCAATCCCCAAGATGGATAAACAGTGACATCATGATTTATTCCATATTCTTCATTTTCTTTTAATCACACAAAAATCACTTTGAGAAATTATTTCACCATTCAAAATGAGATAAAATAACAACGTACTTAGAATTACAAGGTAACAACTCTCGAACTCAAGTTCTTAATTTTTCTAAAAAATTTACAAAAAAATTCGCAGACTGTCTACAGTTCAGACGCGACTTATTAAAGGGGAGCCTACAGATCTAGCAATCCGCAACGACCTTACAAACATAGGTTTTTCTAACTTTATATAGTACCAAAATTTGTAGTATCCGAACCCAAGGCTTTCACACCATGTCATAGGGTTGTTACTACTAAACCAATTAATATTTGTTGTTAATTTACATAAAAAAATTACGAATTAAAATTATATATATAGCTCAATTTATATGATCATGTGACCGATTTTTTTTTTTTTTAAATATCATAATTCCTATTGATCAGATTTTCAAAAACTCACTCTAATATCTAAAAATGCCTTCCAATAATCACTATAACAATGCTTGTCAAAAAAAAAAAGCTGAAGAATAATTTAAAAGTTCCGATTTCTGCAAGCGATTTATGTTAAAAATATATGGGTCGTTCGCTATCACGAGATTTTACAATTTTGCTAATCTTTACTAATTTTACCAAATTAGATAACAACTAATTCTGCCGTGTTCACTTCGCTGAAAATCATCGTCTGCTTTCCTTTTCGCAGTTGCTAGTAATTTTGATACTTGTCCGCTATCCGAAATCACACTGAAATCTTGAAATTCTGCCAAAATTTCAGAAATTTGGAAATTTATTAAAAAAAAAATTTTTTTTTTATCAGAAATTAATGATTTCAACTCGATTAAGCATATTTGGAGTATTTATCCTGTATAAAAGCGTATACTATATAAAGCGCACAGTTGTGAAACAAAATAAGTTTGACCCGATAAATATGCCCCTCTTTTACTGCAGGCAACTTCCTCTCTTTTTTTTTTTAAAAAAAAAAAAAATTTTTTTAATGTAGTATTAAAAACGACAATTCTTTTTTTTTTTTTTTTTTTTTTTTTTTCGCCACAACTTTGTATTGTTAATTCCCTTGATTTCATACAATCATCACATATCATAAGTCGACATAAGTTTAGCTTACAACAAAAACCTTATTATCAGAAAAGAAAATCACCCCTCTAAGGCAAAAATATTTACCACCTCAAAAATAATTAATATTCACCAGAATTACGTGATAATGTCGGCCGTAACCATCAATTTATCTCGGATCAAAAAGTTTAAATTATCATTTTTTATACTTTTAATCACGCTTTTGTGCCACCTAAGTTACAAAAGAAATTTAAAAATTGAGGAGGGTCAATCGTTAATCAAAAAAGATATGTCAGTTAAAGTTCTAAATGATAAAGTTATTCTGGAGCATGCTGGCTCCTCGGTAGAAAGTACGTTATCCTGTCGTGAGATTTCGTCTATATGCTGTGAATATAATTAATTGTTCTTCCTTTTCAGTTTATTATTATGGCGCGACTGTTACCAGTTGGAATTATCGTGGAAAAGAGCTTATATTTTTAAGGTAAATTAAATAACAGTTTATATAATTTTAATTGTTTTCAAGTTGTAAGTCTTTATCTATTATATAAATATATATTAGTAAGAAGTCTTTTCTCGACGGAACAAAGGCGATCCGTGGAGGAATTCCTATAGGTAACCAACAATAAAAAAAAATTTTTTCTAAAGATTTTTTTTTTTTTTTAATATTTGCTTATCGTTATATTCTATCAAAAAAGTTTTTCCACAATTCTCTAAAGCATCTGATCCATCTGCCGAAACTGCTGCACTTCCACAACATGGTATTGCCAGGATTTCAAATTTTGAATTGCTTGAGGATTTAACTGATAGTGAATCTGTTTCCATCAAACTTGGTAAATGAAGATATTAATATATTTATAATCTTTTGTTTCAAAGTTGAATTGTTAAATTGGCTTCTCACTCTTTTTGCTTTTCTATTTTGTTTGAAAAATAATAAAGGGTTAAGTGATTCTCAAATTTCTGAAAGTTTACGAAAATTTTGGCCAAAGAAATTTAAATTAATTTACACTGTAACACTCAAAGATGGCGCATTAAAAACTGATTTGACGGTAAAAAATGAAGATTCCACACCATTCGATTTTCAAGCTCTTTTACATGTTTATTATTCTGTCCCGGTAAGGCACATATATATCATTTTTTCTTTCTCCTTCTTTTATGAATTTATTTATCTCGATATGTACTTTTTAATAATAGCTATTACATATTTGTGTGTATGCGACAGGATATTTCTAAATTATCAGTTGAAGGCTTAATTAATGTATCATATATTGATAAAGTAAATAAGTTTGCAAAAGGTATTGAGAATGATCAATTTGTTAAAATTACCCAACCGACGGATAGAATTTACTTGGATGTTCCAACTGAAACAATTAAAATACATTTAAGTGAAGATTTTAAAGAAGGTTTCACATTACAAAGAAATAATTTAAAAGACACAGGTAATGCGATTCGTTTTTTTTTTCTTTTTTTAAAAAAAACAAAAAAAAAAATTTATTGCATCCCTTTTTTTTAAATAAATATTTCGATTTTTTTAGTTGTATGGAATCCATGGATCGAGACGGCAAAAAGTTTGACCGATTTTGATGATGATGAATATAAACAAATGGTTTGTGTTGAACCTGGTCATGTTTCAGATTATGTCAACCTAAAACCCGGTGAAAGTTGGGAATGCGGACAAATTATCGAATACAAACCTTAAGAAGTCAAATGGCTGTAACTTTAATAAATAATTATTTCCTTTTTTGGTAAATCAATATTAATATTTGTAACTTCAAAACCGCAATGCCAATCTTTTTTTTTTTTTGTCAAAATAATAATAAAAATAAATTAAAATACCTACTTATTTATCGATAAATCTAGACGAATCTCGACACGATGATCTCATCATAGTTTCAGTAATTATAATTTAATTATTACCAAAATTAGTAGAATTAAGTTTATGTGGCGTTTCACCCATTGATAGATATAGAATCATTTTACATGCTAGTTATTTATTACTAATTTAGTGATGAATATCCGAACGTTCCATTATACTACGTGTTTAGACGAAGTAATGTCAGCATAATATTTCAAAAAAGAAAAACTAGTTTTCAAAAATGAAGAATAAAATAAATAAATATATATTATTCGTATGAAACAATTTTTGGTTTTATAAGAACAATTCAAGACATTTGCCGCAACAAGGAGATTAAACTTATATGGCAATTAATAGTAATGTGATTGACCTAGAAAAATTTATTTAAATTGAATATCTATTTTTAATCTATTCTATTATTTTATTTTCGTTTGTGAAAAAAAAACATTCCTCAATGAATAGAAACTATTTAATAAAAAAAAAAAATCACCTTTCAACCTAAAACAAATGAATGACATTTTTTTATATTCGTTTTAAAAATGTCTATTTGAGAAGGGAAAAAGAAAAAAATCTCGCCACTTTGCCTCGTTTGAATCTTTTTACCGCGGTTAAGAATATACCTGATTTCCATATTCAAAAAATTAACTTGTTTAAAATCTAACCACTTTTTTATTTAATTAATAATGTGCATATAGTAAAAAAAAAATAATCCCTTTTTGTTGTATAAAATAAAAAACTTGCAGATTGTGAACAAAAGTAGTTAAATCAAACACCAATGTTATTTATTTATTTATATACCCCAAATAGAAATGGGAATATAATCGTATTATAAAAAATCATATAGGAAAGTCATCTTTTTTGTTTTCCGAATATTCCACTTATGTATTTAAAATAAAAGAATAAAAATTCTTGTGCGCACTTTGTGCGAAAATAAAAATAAAAATAAATAGACGCATGCGCAGATTTTTTTTTTGAAAAAAAAAAAAAATCAAAAAGATGATCAAGGGAAAAACAAAAATTTTCTCATAAATAGAATAGCTGAATCAATAAAATAAAATAAAAAAAATTAAAATTTCTCATTCCTTTCTTTTCCGTCAAAAAAACGAGCACGTTGTTTATAATTCTGTTGTCATTTCTTGTTTATTTTGACAATTGAAACTGAAACCAACACATGGGTACAAATTAATTTGTATAAAATCAGCTTGGTTAAATTCTGAAAATCTTTCATTGAAACCTTTTCCTCCTTACAAAAAAAAAAAAACGTCCAATGTCCACAACAACTTCACCGACCGTAACTCTAAGCTATCCAATTCCAAGTACGATAAAATCAACAACCGTAGGTTAGTTAAAATAATTCGTGAAAAAAAAAAAAAAAAAACAAGAAAAAGAAATAATTTAATTCTTCTAATGCTTTGAAATGTTTTATCATTTTTTCTTTATCTTTTGTTTCAAAACAGTAACGGATACATTTGAAACAAATATAATCGATACAATAATATTACAGAAAACTCCTCCCCCCTCTTTACCAACTTCTCTAGATGATCCGTCAATTCCTGGAAAGGATTCTTCCGCCTCCATACGAGAAAATGATCGTATTCCCATCATAATAGTGATTTCCTTTCTCGTAATACTCTTTCTCACGGCCCTTCTATTTGTGTATATACATGGAAAACGTAAGAAACGTCAGCAAAAAGCCCTAGCTACCGCAATAATAGATGCAGAAACGGGAGAAATTTCCATGTCCGATTCACCTTCACCCCCTCCCCCTCCTACACCGCCCCCAACCCCTCTTCCACACGCTTTTTTGAGAGATGATGAGATTTCGCAACATTCAAGTATTACGATCGAGCCAGCACGTCCACTACCGCGTTATAAGATATCAACATTACAGATTGAGCCAATGACAAAACGTTTAACTATGAATCTGAGTCAAAAAGGCAAAAGTATAATAATAAACGATGATACAAAATCAACTTCAAGAGGAAGTGAAACTACGAGAGAAGGAGATATAAAAGAAGAGGAAGAGGAGGAATGTTGTCAAGAAATCATTAACGTCGTTAGTTTAAGAGATGGAGATGATTATGATTTTCATGGAAGTAGTGATGATGAGAGTGGAAATAAAAGTGGAAGCAAGGGAGAAAAAGGAAATAAACGATTTTCCGTACGGAAAAATTTTTGGAAATGAAGTATATTCTTTGACATACTGCCGGGAATCAAAAGATTCTTAAAGGACAATTTATTTTTCAACAAAATTCAAAAATGGCCAAATTGTAAAAAAAAAAAAAAAAAAAAAAAAAAAAAAATTTTTATTGTAAATATAACAAAAAAAAAAAACATTTCTCAATCACATCTTTTGAGATTATTGAACCAACTTTTTTCCCTTATTATTTTTTTTTGTATTCTTTATTATTTACTTTTTTTTTTCATGTATAAATTTTTTTTCCTTTAATTGTATATATTCTTTTAAAATTAACAGAATCGATGGATAATACGTAAATTTAAATTTTTCTTTAATTGTACGGGATGTGATAAATTAATTCTTTGCGAAGAAAATCATCCATAAAATTTCTTTTTTAAGAAAACAATACTAATGAGATTATGCATTATTTAATCACTACAATTTTTTAAAATTTTTATCTCCGGTTCACTCGTTTGTAATCTTTATGACAGTTCCCGTTTATGCGGTACTTAATATCATTGTCCCATAAAATTTTTGATTTTTTGAATTGTTAGACGATTTCAGATAACATATTCTTGTTGTTCTCCTTTTCACGAGCTAAAAATTTATTGAACAATGTAGTGATAGGACTTTTTTATTTAATGATTTAATCGGAAATTCCGTTTACATTTTACGAAATGTTCTTTAAACATAATATTGCATTATTATGTTTAAAGAACAAAATGGGCTTCCTTTATAAAGTTCTTTTGATTTCCCAAACCGGTTAAAAAGAGGTGATAAATATCTCGAATAATAATCCGCGGATAGATTCACGACATAAAAATGGCAAATCCGGATTTACAGAAGCTTTCCCCGAGAAACTAGTTCTCCCGTACTTACAGTTTTGGATAAATAAAGTTTTAATTATAACCATATTCGATTCAACTATTTGTAAGAATGATTAAAGTATAATAAGGTTACTGATATTGAACATTTATTATTATTGTCCATTATCAACTGGTATGTTGTGTATCATGAGAATAATGGGTATGATGTTATAACTTTGAGAATGATAATATTTTTTTTATTAAACACGGTTTTGAATTAACTTGTTTCTCGTCATTCACTTTTGATCTAAACTCTTTTTGACATTATAATAAGGACCTTAAACAACCATAAGAAGCAAAAAACTTGATTTAAAAATTAATATTTCCTGTTTTGAAAGGAAAATAACTTGAGGAGGCTCTCGATTTAAGATTCTTATCAATATTCCAAGATTACTTAATCAATCTGGGCATCGGTCAACCTTGGGTTCACTTAAGGTTGGTTAAATTAATTTAAATTGGCAATGAATTAACGAGAGAAAGGATTTTCATAGGGGTTAATTTGGGGAGGAAAACAAATACGCCGCCGCCTAAGCATCATTGATAGCCAGAAAAAAATAAAATAAAAAGTTATTTTTAGTTAATATTTGAATTTCTAAGCTAATAACCCCGGAATTAACAAACATTACGTTTCACGGAAAGATTTTAGACGCGTTTAATTACGTGAATGTATTTATATAGCCAATGAGACCCATTCATTTTTATTACTAATGAACATTTGCTTTTTATACAGAATTATGTGTATCTTTCTTAGGCATAAGCTCGGTTCTTTTGTGCTTTTTCGTTTTCATTTAAGAAATCAAACAGTTTTCTCTAAAGTTGATTCGTAGATTATGAGAAGAAATAGCTTTATCCTGTTTATACTGTATATCAAAGTGTTTGTTAAAGGTTAATTTTACGGTTTTAAAATATTGTACAACAGATAAAATTACAATCTTTAAAAGTCAATTCTGCATGAAATGAATAAGGGACCAATTAAATTTATTTAACCCCATAATTCATAAAACGTTACATTTGAGGAAAAAAAAAAAAAAACCAAATTTTTATTGAACTTTTATTGGTATTTTATTGAAATTATTATAGGATCTTTACAAGATAAAAAAAAAAGAAAAAAAAAAGAAAAAAAAAGAGGAGCGCTAGATATTTAAAGGAAAGAAGATCGACTGAATTATTTAACGAAAAATGTTTCTTACAGCTAAACATTTATCAACTTGTGACGATAAAACTTTTTTTTTTTTTTTTTTCAATTGATCTCTTTAAAAAAATTTGGGAAATGATCTATGTTAATTCTGTTAACAATGCTTTTAACATTTCCGAGAATTGCCCTTAACCTAAAATAATACTGCAGGGATTTATTAATGTTCTGCTTATCAAATCATGTTGCAAGGAGTTTTAATAGTTTGTATCAAACTTTTCTTCCTTCCTTTTTCTTTTTTTTCAATATAAATTTCAACGAAAATTTTATTAAATTTCTCTTATTTGGATAAAATAAAGCAAGCTATCTTACTCATTTAAACTTAGGAATGGATATTCGACACATGTTGAGTTGTTTCTTCTTTTTTTCGCGGGAATGTATATCATAAACAATTTCCATAGAAGGAATGAAGAAAGTTCTTTTGAAGATCGATAATTCTTTAGTTTGTATATGATAATTTATTTCTTCATTAAATGTATATTAAAATACAACAAATTTCATCCTTCATAATATGATTGAATAATCAAGCTTTTATTTTTGTTTTAGATTAAATTTAAATTCTTTTTTTCTCTCTTTAACGTTAAAAGCGGGGTTCTAACGATTACTCCATTGAAAATTAATCATTGTAATTATTGGTTATATAATAATAAATGGTAATGATGCATGAGCGCCTATAACTTTAAAAGTTAAATTTACATATTTTATTGATTGTTCTTGATTGTAAATGAAAAGAAAAGTTTTTGGAAGAAAAGATTCATTTTTCAATCGTAAAATTCTTTAAACATGAAAAAAATAAAAAAAACTACTTTTGTAAGACAATAATAATATTACGAAATTAGTAATTTTTGCCGTCACGTGTTTCAAGTGATTTTTATTGGTTTTCATTTACCATTTCAAAAAATCAACAAGCCAAGGCAAAAATAATGATTAAGAAATTCTATTTGTAAATATTAAACAAAAAAAAAATTTTCGGTAAAATTTGTATATAACCCACATGAATAATTAAAATCATAACAACATCATTTACGAAAAAAAATAACCAATTAATTTTTTTCGTGTCACGGCAACAAAATATTAATTACAAAGTACAAATATATTTTTTTTTTTTTATAAATTTGTTACTTATTTCATGTTTCGCTCTCTTATCCTGGTTTCTTTCTGAAAAAAAAACCACAATTAATATCTTCCTACCAAAGTCTCTCCTTTTCTTTTTTACAATCTCTTTTTTTTTCTTATAATCATTGAGTGATTGCGATTTCTTTCCTTTATACACCTTGTAGTTCTCAATAACGTTAAACATTTTTTTTTTTAAAAAAAAAAAAAAAAAAAAGAATTGTAAATAAGCATAAAAAAATCTCACCTTTTTTTATACCCTTTTCTTACGATTTAAGACTTATCTAATTTTTAAGTCATCATGTCGGACTCAACTCTTTCAGATGTTTTACCAAAAGCAGAACCAGCTCTCCCAAAAATTGATGAATATACTTCGTCAACTCCTCTTCCTGAGGTGCCCACGATGTCATCTACAGGAGGAACACCGATACAAACATCGCTTCCTGAAACAACTTTCTCATCTAACTCCCCTAATTCAATAACCTCGACATTCAATTCAAACACCTTAATTTTTATTTTAATTCCCACCATAGTACTTTTAGCTATTGGTTTAACAATAGGAATAATATGTTATAAACGTTTACAGAAAAAACAAAAAAAAGGAACAATATTACAATTTGAACCAATGCACCCTCATGTTGTCGTTGTTGATGCGGATGGAAACAGTTTAGGAAAAAGAAGTAATAGCACTGCAAGTACGAGTAACAATAGTTTCATTAGTAATCTCGGCGGAAATAAAAATCCAAGCAGAATGATTAAAGTAATAGCTTATGATAATGATGATCATACAAAAGAAAATGCAAGCATAAAGAGTAACGATTCTAAGAGAAAGACCATGTATTATGAGGATTATCATCGACAATAATTTAAGGCCGAAGATGATGGAACTTTTTTGGTCATGTATAAAAGTATATAATCATATCTATATTCGTTGTATTATTATTAAATTTTATAAATATAAATAAATATATATATATATAATAAAGAATATTAAGAAAAAAAAAAAAAAAAAAAGATTCGAAAAATTTGCATCCTTTTTTTCTATTTCAAAAAATCCTCGTACATTATTTCGCGTCACGCGACCTTTTCTGGTTAGCGCAAGCGTTTATTACCATAAATGGCGTGGTAAAAGTTAAATAAAGTTTTCCATATCGATATGATTAAAGTTATTATGCAGTACTACATACAACACCGCATAATCATTAATACGGAATTCACCAAAATTTAAGGTTCCCTTATCAAATTTTCTTAACAAATTTATTGCTATATTGGGAGAAAATTAAGTTGTATTCCTATTTCGTATTTGCTTATTTAACTAAATTTGCATTTCGCTTTCAACATGCATTAAATAATTTCTCGTTTACATAATCAAGGTCAAGACTTTTTAGCATTACGTTACTCCAAATGAGACAATCGTTATTTTATTTATTTTGTCAAATTCCAATTCCTAAAAAGATACAACAATAGTTAGCACACGATCATTAATAATGACAATAAAAAATATATGATCATATTTAAGGAGATTGGAAAATAAATGCCCCGCATTTATGAAATTTCCTAACATTGTTTAAAGCAAATTCGTTCTTTCTTCCGAAGAGGTGAGTAAAATTATCCTCATTTTCCCTTGTCCATTTTCCAATCTCATGAAACTTTATAATTGATTTGTATTTCTATCACATAATTTACGCGATACAAAAATAAAAAGTCTTGTTACACCAAATGGCAAATTAATTTCAGGGGTTCGAAATCTTTTAACAATCCAATAATGCTTGTGTATGTGCATAAAAGAAAAAGGAAAGATTGGAAACGTGATTGGTTAATTCAATTCTGCGTTCATCCACAACCATTATGTGGTTTCTCTATTTTTAAAATATAAAATTTACAAATAAAGAATTTTGAACATCAAATCTCTTTCATTAAATTAAATAATTTAAAAATAAAATAAAATCTTTAATAATCATTATCAGAATTCATAAAATTTTGTTTTTATTAAATTTTTTTAAAAAAAACTAAATTTGACCTATAGACTTATTAAAATTATAAAGCCTTATATTTCTTTTTCTTTTAAAAATAAAATTATTAATAGATAATACATCTTTTTTTTATAAAATTCTTTTCTATATAACTCTTCTAAAATTATAATATTTAATTATATTATTATTTTATTTTAGTTTATTATATAACCTTTTATAAAATTTTTCATATTGTAAATATCAAATTTTACTTAATAAAATAAATGATTTTATAATTATATATTAATAATTGATTTTATTTTTTAAGATTTATAATTCAAAATTATAATATTATAATCAAATTTTATATTAAAAATTTTAAATTTAATAAAAAAAGATTTATATTTACTATTAATTAAAATAAAAAAGTTTGTTACAATTACAAATGTTATATATAATCAAATAATTTTTTAATTCATTATCTTATATTTTTTATTATATAATTTATAAAGTATTAAAAAAATATATTATAATAAATCTTAATTTAATAATTAAAATTTATTTATTTTTTAAAAATAATTAATTCATTAGAAAAATATTTTAAATTTAAGGTTATAAAACTTATATATAAGATTTTAATAAATAAAAAATAATTAAAATAAAATACTTTATAGATTTTTCTTATAAATTTATTAAAATATTTTATATATAATGTTACTGAATTTAGTATCAATTATCTTAATATTTAAATTAAAAGAACTGCAATAATTAATTCTATTTATCAGAATTTATAATATAAATATCTGCTATGTTCTATAATTTATATAATTTAAAATTATTCTATTTATATAAAATTATTTTGTTACAATTTACTATTTATTAAACTATAAATTAATTAAATAATATATATAGAGCCTAGTTAATAGAAAAGAGAGAAATCTAAATTTTGATAAAAAAATTTTTTATTTGTCTACTTGACTGATTATAGTTATATATTCAAAATTAGATTAGAAACTAAAATTATTAAAAATTTTCAATTTTCTTTTTTTTTATTGACAAACTTTCATATTAATAAAATAATGTAAATAAATAATAAAATAACAAAAGCGATAAAAGAAATAAAAGAATTATAAAAATTAAAAAATTACAAATATTATTAATTTTAACAAAAGAAATAAAAATTTATAAAAAAAACAGATAAAATAAAAATTACTATCAATTAGAAATGCTAAAAATTATAGTTATGATTAATCATAATTATGATAGATATTAATTAGTTAAAAGTTTCTAATTGGTCAGTTAACTAATTAATTTTAATTAATTTTAACTAATTAGTTGACTGACTAACTTAAAACTAAATAATTATGATTTAGATAATAAAAAATATATTGTATTAATTTAATAAAATTAATATTTTATTTTAATTATCTATAAATTAAAATTTTAAAATTTTGAAAAAATTAAATTCACAATAATATTATATTATTAAAAAATACTATATTAGAATTATTAAAACAAATATCAAAAATAAAGATGGTTCTCATAATTATTTTCAAATTTCAATTGAGTTGCAACTTAATTGCGCCATAAGGAAATTTAATTGCACCACAAGTTGCAACTCAATTACGCCATTTTTTTTAATTGCGGTGATCATCTTTAATCAAAAATTATAATATTTGATTAAATTAAAATTATATATTAAACTAAACTGATTAATTATATTACTATTAACCAGTCAATCAATCTATTAGTTAAAATTAATCAGTTAATCAATTGATCAATCAAAGTTTTTTAACTAATTATTGACTGATTATTAACTGATTATAACTAATCCTATTATTAATTATTATTATTTAATATAGTTGATTAATAATTGATAAATCTTATATAATATTAAATAATGCAGTAAATTTTTTTATTAACAATAATATATTATATTTAAAATTATTTACCTTAACCTATTTTTATTTGATAAAATATTTAAAATTTTAGTTTTACTAATTTTTTATTAAATTTAATATAATTTTGCTATTTTAATATAGTTTATTTTTTTCTGAATTTTACAAATTTTTAATAAGTTTTTATTTTTTTATATTTAAATAAAAATAACTTTTAGACTTTATTTAGTAATCTTAATTATATATATTATATATATAAATATCATATTTATTTTTTTTATAGGTCTAATTATTTTGACTGATCTTGAGCTATAAGTCTAATCACTAGACTTATATATCTAGTTAGTCCAATTTAATTGAAGGAATCATTTTTGAATATGTTTGATTCTTGTATAATTAGTAGATTTATATTATTGTGATTAGTTAAATTATTTAAATTATTATATATACAAATTAATAAATATTACATTTAAATAATATTATATTACTATAATTTCTTTATATATAAAATATTAAAATTTTACATAATCTAAGTTTATTATATTTTTATTATATATAATTATTTAAAAATTTAAAATATTATATTTTAATATTAATTTGATAGATAAAAAAAATTAATTTCAAAAAATAAAATTTAATATCTTGAATTTATAAAATTTTAAGTTTTATTAATTTAAAAATAATTCTTAATAAATAACTTTAAATTCATTGTAAAATTTTAAAAATAATATTATTTCTTACTAATATTCATAAATAATACTATATAAATAAGTAATAAAATATAAAAATAAAATTACAATAATATCTCTATAAATATTATATTTAAAATCAATTATGCATATATACAGAGAGTTGCTAAAAGTCTTTGAATGCTTTTTGGCTTAATAAATCATTTAAAATTTTAAATATTAATTAAAAATTTTATTAAATATTTATTAAAAATAACATATAAAATAAATTTTGTATTAATTAATTAGTATTTTGTCAGACTTCTATTTGCTTTAATTATAACCTAAATTTATTATAGTATACTAATAACCAAATTTTTGATAGTATGTATGAAAATTTCTCTCTATGACTTTTAATATACTGTTCTAGTTTAGCAATATTAGAAGGTATTTTTTCTTTTACAGATGCTTTTCTTAATATCAGCCTACAGATTTTTGATCAAGTTGATATCTGGACCTAAGCTGGTTATGAAAGAACTTGTATATTATTTTCTGCATAAAAATTCTTTACTGCTTCGTTTTGTGAAGCTAAGCATTATTCTTCTAAAAACTACTATTAACATTTGAAAATGTATTTTAAAGTACAATTTATGTAAATAAGGTTTAAAATATCATATGACCACATAATTGCTAAGTTATATAAAATTATTAATATTGAATTGCATATAAAAGATAATGTTCAAAGACTTTTAATGGTCTTTAGTATTTATAAAAAATATATACTTATAAAATAACTAATAAAAAATAGATTTTATTATATAAATTAAAATTTAATAAAGTTTTAATTTATTTATTAAACTTTATTTATTATATTCTTTTAAAAATAAATAATACATAACAAATATTTATTAATTAGTATCTATATGATGAATAATATAATAAAAATATGTGACTATAAAAAAATTACTATAAAAAGAGCATATTATATTCAAAAAAATAAGATATTTAAAATAATATATAATATATTTAAATTCAATATATTTAAATTAATTATACTAAAGATGGCACTTCAATTAGTTGTAATAGGTGACAAATAAGTATCATAATATTGCAACAAATTGCAACATTATTAAAATTTAAGTTACAACAGATAACAAATAAGCATTACAATATTACAACGCTATCTTTAAATTATACATATTTTTAAATTTAATACATTTATTTAATCTCAATAAATTTAATTTATTTTTTTAATACTAATATATTTTATAAAAATAAAATTACTTTTAACAAAAATATATATTAATATTAGTTTGTTGCATTAAGCTTGTCTTTTTGATCCTAAAAAATTTTGATCTTTTCTATTAATTTTACATATTCTTTTACATTATTTTGTTAGAATAAAATTATATACAATTTTCTAAACTAATAATTTTAGCATAGAATAATAATAGAAAATTTATTATTATCATCATTTCATTTAAATTCATCAATATTCTTAAAAAGATATATAAATTAATTGATAACTTAATTATTTTTAATAACTTTAAAAATATTATTTTCTTTTAATATATTAAAAAACTCTTTTGTTACATTTTTAAAGATATTGATATGTAAATTTTTTATAGTTACCTACTTTTATATATTGCAGTATTAAATAAAAATAAACTGTTAGACTTAAATATTGAAATATATAGAAATTTATAATTTACTTATTGTATATAAGAATGAAGATAGTATTTTTTGAAAGATATAATTATCTAGTTTTTAAAATTATATTTGAAAATAAAAAATGAATTTTGTATAATAGTTATCAAAAAATTAACACTCACCTTATTGTTTTAGACAATCTTAATGAAATATTAGAAATGATGGAATATGAGGACGTTTTAACTAATCAACCTGTTGTCATCGACAATGTATGTATTTTGTTTTGTTTACCCTTTCATACTTTATACTCACAACGATTAATATCTTATTTTATTTTTAGGGGTCAGGTGTCATTAAAGCCGGGTTGACCAACCAAAATGTTTTTTTCCCTCTTAGTGAAAACTACACTCTAGACATTTGTTCTATTTATTAAAGTCTACCCACTAATATTTTTTGGGATAAAAAAAAAAATAGCGTTGGACGACCTAAACACGTTCGTATCATGGCCGGTGCGGTTGAAGGTGATCTCTTTATTGGGCGTAAAGCTC